TGGCGTCGGTCCCCCCATAGGGGGCCCAGAGAATATACAGTGGGGGCGCGCATCAAGAAACCATATGCTTTTCGTCAGGGTATTCCGGGTTTCTTTGCTCCGCGCGCTGCACGGCGACTTCCCGCGGCCGTTGAAGAAGCTGACGCGTTCAGGGCGCTCCCGGATTCCCCTCAGGCGCACCTCAGGCGCACCTCGCGAGGGTTTCTTGCGGCCGCGCCCGCACTGTACACCACCACCACGTCGATTCCTCCTCTCTCCTCTTTCCAGCGAGAGGGAGGTGGGGAGGGAGGGAGGTGGTGGTGGTGTATATTTCTGGGTCCCCCGCCCCAGGACCTCGGCCCCGTCGGTGGGTCCGGCTATTCACTCTCACTGTCGTTTGACGGTCTCCGGGGCCAAGACATCGCCTCTGGAATCCGAGCGCGCAGAAAAGAGCCGGCGGTCGCGTTTTTTTTGCACGTCGCCTGACTCTATACGGGCGTCGTGGGGGCCTCCCTGCAGGCCTCGCGACGTCGCTGGGGCTCTCGGCCGAGAGCGCCGGGGACGTGACAGCCAGGATCGAAGAAGAAGCAAGTGCATAAACATGAATTGTCGTAGCTCCGCGCGGACTTTTCGGTTCGGCACTGGGTCCTCTTCCCTGGCGCGCGGAGCGCGCCAGGGGTGCCGCCAGAGGGCGCGGCCAGGGGGGCCCAGCGCCGATCCAAGAGATCCATGCGGAGCCCGAAATTTTCTGGTAACGCAGTTCTTCGTTGTCGTGCACGAGTCGGCGGCCAGCCCGGGGGGGAAGTGGGAGGGGGCGGGCCTTCTCAGATGGCTCGGAAGTCTTCCGGCCTTCTGCGAAGTTTTACCCATCCGCCCCCGGAGGCAGAGAAACACTGTTAGAAGGCCGGAGGCCTCCTGAGAAGCCCCACCGCCTTCTGAGGAGGCCTTCTCCTTCTCACTTCCCCCGCCCGCTCGCCGCCGACTGTCGTGCAGGAATCAGACGATAGCCCTGGCGTCGCTGCCGCTGGTCAGCTTCCTCGGAGCGCGCGTGGGCGAGCGGCGGCTGGCCGCGCTCCTCTCCCTGGCGGCCCTGGCGGGGGGGGCGGTGCGCGGAGCGGCGCCAATCGTGCGCCAGACCTGGCGGGTAGCTCCAAGCCCATCTTCTCAGAGGAGGAAGAATTACACACTGTTCATGTCTAATTCTTCGAGAGTTCTTTGATTTTTTGGGGGGCCAGGATCCTTTCATTTCTGATTGTTCTATCCTGGGCCTCTTCCTGGCCACTGGGGGGCCAGGAACAATTAGAAACGAGCACAATTAGAACTTAGCACGATTAGAAATGAACGACGTGTACCCTTCGCCCGTTTCCCCCTTTTTGGGCCTGCTGGGAGGCCCTCGTCACCACCGCTGGATTCGCCTTGGAGTGCTGGCCAGAGCGCACCCAGGGCAGGGAGAAGTCTGGGGAGTGGCGGTATCGGCACTCGTTGGCTTCCCCACATGCGCCGAGCTGTGAAGAACAGCGGCGGAGGGTGCTGTTGCCATTCTCGGACTCTGGGGGCCCTTGCCGGGCCCAGGGACCGTCACTGAACGACTCAGGATGGAGTCCCAGTCCAATCTCGGCGTTTGCGTGCCCTGGCGCGGACGGCCGAACGACCCCTGCAGCGGGACGCCTTGGCAACGCGGCTGCCGCCGAAAACTGTCGGTTTAACGCTGGGGAGTGGGTCGAGATTTCCGGGGGCGACGTTTTCAAAATATCGTGACGCCGGGGGCTTTGGAGGGCCTCGCCCCCGAAGAAACGGATCGATCAGTTGGCATATGTTCCTCGGCGACGGCGGCGGCGGCTGCAGGAACACCGAGGGCGCATCCGCCGGCGAGGGCCGGCGGAAACCGACCGGAGCCTCGGCGGCTCGAGGAAGCAGCTCGCGCAGGCGGGCGTGGGGTCGCAAGTCCCCTCCGGGCCGACCTCCATTTTCCTTAGCTCTGGCGTTGCCCGCTGCTGCCTGAGGGAACTGGCCAGGGATCTCGGCGTCGACGCCTGCGAGGTGGGCGCTGTTCGGCTGCCCGTCCGAGCTGGACCGCGCCGACCTGATCGCCAGATTCGGAACACTTGCGGGAACCAGGGTGTATGGGAACAGACGAGTCCATCGAAGTGCACTGAGGGTGGTGACATTGACGGGAGCCTGCTGGTATAGAGGTCAACGCTGGACGCGCTTCTCGATAGCCGCACTGGCCACTAATGGTGTTTATCCCGAACCTTGTCCCGAACCCGAGCCCTCGGCCCAACTGGGCCTGGGAAAGCAGAGAAAAAATGAAGCGAAACAGATTCTCAATATCTGGAGCTACAACACGGAATCCCTGGTGGTTGTCGACAGACTGGGGGAGCTTCTCGCGCGAGTGAGGGGTAGCTGTGTGTTGTTTCCAGAGTACCCTCATGTCCCTGAACATCGCTTGGCAATGCGAAGAATTTCGTATACTACCTACCCCCAGGACTTCTACGAGAGCCAAAGGTGGGTGCCTCATAGCTGTCGACAAAAGGTTATTGGGGAAGGACGAAATGCGATGTTCATGGATGGGTCCCAGGGCGTCACCAGGGTGTTCGTTTTCGTCGAGTGGGTCCTCGTCCCAAAGACCTCTACGTCTTCCATTGGTATTCTTGAACCAGTGAGCCCCCAAGGGCTCCACAAGGCCAACATGCAGAAGAGCTCGAGCGGCACCGTAAGGCCCAATATGAATTTTGGCAACAATGTCAAGCCACCATTTCCAATATCCCCCGTCGCTCGGCGTTGGTCTGGTGCCTCAGCGCCATTTCGGTGGCCCCATCCCCGCCGAACGCGGGTTTCGCAGGCTCTCGGAGACACCCTTGCCGTACCAGCCAGAATGGCAGCAAGTTCTTCGCGGTGATCCAGAAGCAGGGCCTAGCTGCGCTCAGCGCCTTTGGGAAGGCATCCAGGTTCAATTCCACGTCGGCTCGCACTGACGGAAAGAGTTGGTCCATTCTAGACTACACATGTGTGCGGTTTCACGGAGGGCATGGCCACAGAGGACGATCGCTGCGTGACCTCCCCGTGAGCCTTGGTGGGTTTCGAGACCATATGCCCGTGGATGCCCAGATATACGCAGGCCTTCGCTGCAAGTTCCGACGTCCAGAGGCCGACATCAAGTGGGGCCGCGACCTCGTCGTGCAGGACTCGAAGGAGTTGCACAGGGCCAGCCGCGAGGATGGCGAGCACCTTGTCCCGCGCAGAGTCTTTCGGCTACGTGACGCGGTTGACCTTCACCTTCGGGGGCGACGATTGCGAGGACAGCGGCCCCAGGTATGCGGACCTGGCAAGGACAACCATGACGCCTCGGCGTGCTTCGACGCGCTGGAGGGAGCGGCGGCGGATGCAGCGGTGGAGATCTACACCGCGAAGCCGACCGAGAGGGGGGCGCCAGCTTTCCCCGTGGAGACGCTGAAGGCCATCGCTCAGAAGCAGATGTGCCAACGCATGCTCGCCGAAGCGGTCGCGGGGAGCTGGCTTCACAAGTCCTTGCGCCGCTTGAAGGTGGCCAAGCTGGCGAAGAGGGCAGTCCGCGCGCACCGCCGCCAGCAGAAGGCAGAGCTAGTGGACCAAGCTGCACGCGCCGACCAACGCCATGACACCTGGAAGAACTACGCCATCATCCGCCGCCTCGCGCCGAAGCCGACGGCGCCATCTATGACGGCGCACAATCCTGAGACAGGTATGGTATGCTTCGACCATGATGGGGGGACATGGCTGCACGTGTCAAGGCCTTGTGCTCCATCTTCCAGGCTGAGGATATCGAGCTGAGTTCTGTTTCGGCCTTGGTGCCGGTGGATGGAGCCCATCATGGCGTTGACGACCTGCTGGAGGACATTGCCGTTGCGAACGCCAGTAGGGCCGTGATGAAGCTGCCCGACTACAAGGCTGCGCCAGTCTTGACATGGAGCGATCCATAGAGCGCGTTGACACCGACTCCGAGACCACATTCTGATGGAGTTGCGGCAGAGATCTGGAAGCTTTGTCTTGACTATGTGGCGGTGCCCCTTTCCAAGCGCGCCACCAGCTCAAGCAGGTGGCCCAGAGGTTCAAGGACGGCGAGACGGCGTCACTTCGCAAGCCCAGGGGGGGTCGGACGGAACGCCAGGGACCACTGCCGCTCGATGAATTTCATCAACCACATCAATGTTGCATAGGCGGGTGGGCGTTGTAAGTGTGCAGGTCGCCTATCTGTTGCCCAGTTCGGAGCGCTGCCGCAGCGGTCCGCGCGCGACGCAGCGTCGGTCGTGGGTGAGATCGCCCGCAGGGTCGAGGTGCGCAGGAGCCGCGCCAACCGCCCGGCCATCAAATTGGTAGCCGCTCTTGTTGACCTTGCAAAGCTTTTGACCTCTTGCCCAGGGGCGAGGCTTGGGAGTCCGCGGAACAACTGGCGGCATCCAGGGGCTCGGTTGACGCCGGAGGCCCCGCGCGAAGGCATTCGTTGCATCTCGAGGGGCATCAGAGCGAATAAGCCGCGCAGAACCTTGCTGGTGCGACGCGGGGCCCGCCCGGGAAGCATCAAGGGGCCGTCGCTTTTCATCGCCATCTACGGTTTCACAGCCAAGGAGATCGCGAAACAGCGAGAGGCCCAGGGCTTCGAGGGGGGTCGCAGCGTTCTCGGAACCCGCCCCGGACAAGGGGCAGGGGCATCTTAGAGGCAGGAGAGACGTGCGAGCCAGACGAGTCACAGGTTAAGTTCGTTGACGATATCATAGGTCTGACTGCGTTTGGTAGCTTGCAGCGGGTTTCGGAGTGCCTCCAGTTTTTGTCTCAGGGGGTCGAGGCCAGGTGTGCGACAATGAGCGTCCCGAAGCTTGAGTCCCCGATGATTTCCTCGGGCAAGGGGCGCGAGGAAATCGGCGGGGGTCTCGGGCAAAAAAAAAGGGGGTGTAAGGCGAAGGGCTCTGAGGGCCGCTCCGCGCGCGTCCGCGCCCAGAAATCTGTCGAGCATTTGGGGGCCATGATCAGGGGGGGCGACATTTCGACGGGTCAAGAACTCCAACATATAATCAAAAATGCAAGCGCAGCTCACGACCGACTCTCTCAACGCGCATTCAAGGGGCACCTTGGCTATCGCCTCAAAATTCGATTTGAGAATTCATTTTCTCGGTTGACCACTCTCTCCTCTATGGAAGCGGCCTTTTCTTGCGCCGCCCGAGTTGCAGAGATTGGAACGTTGGCAGACAGAAATGCCAAGGCACTTGCTCCGTTCCCCCGTTGATCTCCGACATGTCCCCAGCGAGGCGATCCGTCGCAAGGCGAACGCGCATTCGGCGTCGTCGACGTTGCTGTTCGGGCGTCTGGGGTGGTGGCAGGGGGCGACGGCCCCTGGACTCGCTCCCCCGAGCACCCGAATGCGATCCCACCCGAGCGGTTAGAGCGGCGATTATTGGCCGCCTGAACTTCGAGAGGAGGGTGGGGCCCAGGAAGCCCGCGGGTTTGATTTCCTTCCTGGGCCAGGACCTCAGGGCGCCGCGGTCATCACTCTCTGCTCCTTCGCGCGATGGAGCCCCTGGGCCCGACCCAGAAGTTTCGAAGCCGTGGCTTAGTTGGTTCTGTGGCTTTGCCCAGGTGGATTCTCGCGCTGCCCTCTCGTCTCGCCCAGGAGAGCGCCCCGACGGAACCCGATGCCTTATGATCCCGCGTCCCGAGTGTGGCCTGACGCGCAGAGGCCCGAAGACCCTTGATGGCCATTGGAGGCAGGCGCGCGGAATCAAGGCCACCGGGTTTGCCCTCCCACAGAGCACGCCGGCATTGCCAGCGGACTTCCGCCGGGAAGGACACGCTACTTCGCCAGATTGGTGCCCCGCGCTGCCTTGCCCCGAAGGCTTCTGGGGCTCAAGCTGCCCGGCCTGCCTGACCGCCCAATCTGGGTGGCGACGCCGACGGGGATGTTCGCGCCGCTGGCGGAGGTGACGACCAAGCAACGCAACTCGGAGCAGGGGCAGCAGGGGCCGGGCGAAAAGGAGGAACCAATGGAGACGGGATCCGACCGCCAGCTGGCCCTGTCGATGGCCACTGGTCCTGCAGCACGAAGACGACCTGCGCGACCTGCGGCGAGACGTGAACCTCGTGCTCACCCTGCGCGCGGACGCCAAGCTCCAGCTGGCTTTCTGGGACGGGGCCGACGAGCACAACAAGGCAGGGACAGACAAGAGGGACAAGGAGAAGGACGAGTTCAACGGCCACCCGTGCGGCAGGCGCCCAGACGCGTTGATCAAGATGGCGCTCTACCAAATGTCGGAGGCCCTGCAGGCCAACGAGGGCTAGGCGACTGCGGCCGCCGCGCAAGGTCAAGGCCCAGACGCCGCCAAAAAAGCGGTGAAGACCATCGTGGAGTGGTGCGGCAAGGTTCAGGACAATTCGACGATCTTCCATGCGACCAGGTGCTTCATGATCACGACAGAGGATGCGACGGGCAAGGGGGTGGAGAAGTGGATCTTCGCGGCGTGCCACCACAGGGGGGTCCGCCACGCTTCGAGCAGCCGCGCGACAACGGAGGCGCTCTGGCCGCGGGGCTCTTGCCGGAGCGCGACCCGGCCCCGAGGAGCCAGGCCTCGAAGAGAGTGGAGAGGCTGGCGTTCCACGGGGGGAAGAAGGGCTCCAAGGCAAGGAAATGAGGGCCTCAGGGAGGCCAGGTAGCTCGCACCAGACACTTGTGATTCGGTTTTTTTCGCTCATCTCGAGGGGGTGGCACTTAACGCTCTTCGGGGGTTTTGTGGGCCCCGCGCGTGGCCGTCGGCCCTCCCGGGCCTAGAAGGGGTTCGGGGGGCCCTCCTCGCAGTGCCACCCCCTCGGAGGATGGGGTTTCGCGGGGTTGGGATCGAGGCGTCTTCATGGGCTCGCCTTTGGCTTCGGTCCTGCCTCGTGCATTTCGGGGGTTCCGATCAGACATGTTCGATCGCGCCGACGCCTGCTTGGTTTCTGGCTTCGGTGGACAGCGTTGCTAGCCCAACACTAGGTCTCGAGAGTCGTGGACGAGAGGGGGCAGTGGCTTGCGTGTGGAAGCCGACCGGTCGGCTTTCCCCTCGAGCGAGAGAGAGAGAGAGATAGAGCGAGAGGAGTTGGCATCTCCTCCTCGGCGGGGGGGCGGCGGGAGGCGGCGGTATTAGAGGCGAGGGCGCCTCCGCTGGCGGAGGGGCGGCACGAGGCGGGCGGGAGTTTGTCGGAAGCAGAGCTGGGCCCCCCGAGAGATGGCAAGGTCGACCCTCCAACTCCTCCTCCTCCTCCTCCACGTCCTCCTCCTTCTCCTCCTCTTGCCTTCTCCTCCTCGTACTCCTCTTTCCTCCTCCACCTCCTCGACCGTCGATCCTTGATCCTCGACCCTCCTCCTCGACCATCGACCCCCCTCCTCGACCATCGGCCCTCCTCCTCCTCCTCCTTCTCCTCCTCCTCGACCATCGACCATCGGCCCTCCTCGTCTCCTGGGAAAATGACTCACCCTCGCGGTCGGTGACCTGCGCGCCCGGCCGACCTCCCAAAGCTTCTCCCCCTCCCCCGAGGGAGGGCGTCGGGGAGGGGCCACCTCGGGGAGGAGATCGTCGAGCTGGAATCTCACCAGCTTGGAGCATATCCCTATCCATATCCCTATGCTGGGCACATCCTCATCACGATGCCAATCTTAGGGATTCCCTTATTTATCGAGGGCGAATCCCCAAGATTGTCATCGCCTTTTGGCGTGTCAATCTTAGGGATAGGGATACGTTCGAGGCGGGTAAGGATCAGCGATACATCGCCGCGATGCATTGGTCAGTTCGATGCGCATGTTTGCGCGCGCGCTGGCGCGCGCGCGGGCAGCCTGCAGCAGGCTGGCCTTGCTCGGCAGGCTCGCGCCGCGTCGGCGCGGCGGCGGCCCCGGCGCGGGCGTTCCAGGCGGAGCGCCGCGGGCGCGTGGCCGGGGGCCGGCCGACAACGAACGATGTCGCAGGCATAGAGGTTGACACCAACACCAGTATCGACGGTGTGCCCCCACCGAAGGAAGGCGATGCCGATTTCGGTGGTGGTGGTGGTATTCGGGCTTCCTGGGTGGCCGAATCTCACCGCCAACACCGAAATCTGGGATCATCTTCTCCTGGTAGAGGCACACGCCTCTGTCGGTGTTGATGCCCATTTCCAAGTGTCCAACGATGGGCACGAGCCGCGATCGTTTGATGATCGAACGATACGCGCGGCGTCAGGCAATGGCGCGCAAGTCGTCGCTACACGAACCTGCCGTGCACGGCTGGCGTCCACTTTCCTCTGACGCAGCAGTTTTTTTGTCATGTCGGTCCCTGAGGAGCTCGACCCCTTCCCCCGGGGCAGACTCTTCACCCAGAGCCGTTTTTTGGATGGCCCCCGGGCCCAGCAGCGGCAGAGGCCGAAAACACAGAAAATTTGGCGGTGGCGTTGTTGTTTTTGCATCGCCTGGGTCTGCGGATCGTCCATCGGCATCACCCGAACATACTTGCACTACAGTCCACGCGCCTAGTGAGGACGCGCGCCTTCATCTAGGGTACCCTTGCGTCCTTGCCTCTGTGGCCCGTCCTTTGCCGTTTTCACTGGTCGCCGGCGCCCCCAAAAAAACAATTTCGGCCTCAAAGGGTCTTGCGTCCTTACCACGCGTCCTTACTATACGTTTTGACTGTAACCCATGCGTCGGCCACACCGGGCGACGCGCTCGCTCAGAGATCCTATAGCATATGTTCGGTGGCGGGCGCTCTCTGGCTATACCGCCTGGGCAGCGATAGAATGTTGAATGCTTGTTCTTTATGTTCCTTTCGGACCTGCTCCTCCAATCAGGAGGGAAAAAACACACAGACACAATTAATTGTCGATCCCCCAGAAAATATAGGAAAATATGGGAAGTGGGGGGGAAGACAGAAACGCAGAAAATATGGGGAAATATGGGGAATCTTTTTATTTGTGTGTATTTATTTGTGTGGCCTGGGGCCCCTTCATTTATGTTCCTTTCGGACCTGCTCCTCCAGGGAGGGCGCCTTGCGGTAGTTACCAGTGATCCTTCTGCGTCCCGGTCCGAGGTGCTGGCGGCCGCGACGTGCTCGAGCCTGCCGGCGGCCGCGTGGGAGGGCGCCCTGGCGGCCATCAGGGACCATGTTTGGGGGATGGGCTCAGGGGGGGGGGATGCATCGGCCTTCGATCGCCCATTTCTCGCCGACGCGGGCATGATGGCCCGCATCGAAGCATTTTCGCAGCATTCGCACTGTCCGAGCATTTCCTGTGATGGGCGAGCCTTGGTTCAGATGTTTTGCAGTCTGCTGCCGAATAGTCCAGCTGCGCTGGCGTGCAGATCCACTGCCGTTAAGTCGGGCCTGTCCCTCTACAGGGGGAATATTCATAATTACCTCGGCAAAGCAACCTAACAGCGATGTGCATAAGCATATCTGGAAGCATTCCCCTTAAGATTCACCTTGTCTCAGCTTCGGCCTGCCTCGGCCTCATCTTCAGCCTCAGCCTCAGTCTCAGCCTCAGCGTGTCTCGGCCTGAGCCTGCCTCGACCTCAGCCTCAGCCTGCCTCAGCCTCAGCCTCAGCCTCAGCCTCAGTCTGTCTCAGCATCAGCCTGCCTGAGCATCAGCCTCAGCCTCAGCCTCAGCCTGCCTCGGCTTGCCCCGGCCTCAGCCTCAGCCTGCCTCGGCCTCAGCCTCAGCCTCAGCCTGCCTCAGCCTCAGCCTCAGCCTGCCTCAGCTTCAGCCTCAGCCTCAGCCTGCCTCGGCTTGCATCAGCCTCAGCCTCAGCATGCCTCGGCCTCAGCCTCAGCCTCAGCCTGCCTCAGCCTCAGCGTCAGCCTCTCAGCCTCAGCCTGCATCAGCCTCAGCCTCAGCCTCAGCCTGCCTCAGCCTCAGTCTCAGCCTGCCTCAGCCTCAGCCTCACGTCAGCCTCAGCCTCAGCCTCAGCCTCAGCCTCAGCCTCAGCCTTAGCCTCAGCCTCAGCCTCAGCCTGCCTCGGTGCCTCAGCCTCAGCCTCAGCCTCAGCCTCAGCCTCAGCCCTCAGCCTCAGCCTCAGCCTCAGCCTCAGCCTCAGCCTCAGCCTCAGCCCTCAGCCTCAGCCTCAGCCTCAGCCTGCCTCCTCAGCCTCAGCCTCAGCCTCAGCCTGCCTCAGCCTCAGCCTCAGCCCTCAGCCTCAGCCTCAGCCTCAGCCTGCCTCATCAGCCTCAGCCTCAGCCTCAGCCTGCCTCAGCCTCAGTCTCAGCCTGCCTCAGCCTCAGCCTGCCTCAGCCTCAGCCTCAGCATGCCTCGGCCTCAGCCTGCGTCAGCCTCAGCCTCAGCCTGCCTCAGCCAAGCCTGCCTCAGCCTCAGCCTCAGCCTGCCTCGGCGTGCCTCAGCCTCAGCCTCAGCCTGCCTCGGCCTCAGCTTGCCTCGGCCTCAGCCTGCCTCAGCTCGGGCTTTCACAATATGGCGCATGACTGGTGTTCTGGGAACACGGAGATCACGAAGTGGCCCACAGTTGGCTCCGGGCAATCAAAATATGGTACAGGAATGGCGTTCTGGGAACACGAAGAACACGAAGTGGCCTACAGTTGGCTCCGGGCATTCAAAATGTGGCCTGGGAATGGTGTTCTGGGAAGACGAAGAACACGAGGTGCCCTACAGTTGGCTCCGGGCATTCAAAATGTGGCCCGGGAATTGTGTTCTGGGAACACGAAGAACACGAAGTGGCCTACAGTTGGTTTTGGGCATTCAAAATGTTGCCTGGGAATGGTGTTCTGGGAATGGTTTCCTAAGGATTCCTAAGAATTCCTAAGGATTCCTATAGATTCCTGGGGCTGACCTTTTTGTCCGGTTTTGTCCGGATCCCGCCCAGACCCCCCTGGGGCGTCAAGATGCTCTCTTTTGACCCCACTAGAAACCTATCAGTCTTCGCTGTTAGGTAAACAGTCAACAAAAATAGCCTGGGGACTATGTTTTGAGTTGTTGTTTTGCAATTTTGGATGTTTGTTTGACTACTTTTTATTTGTCGTCGGAGTTCACCTTGCACGGGGACACGCCCGACTCAACACTGGATGACGTCCTGTGGACCACGTGCACGGGAGCAAAAAAAAAAGCCGGGCCGCAGGGCCCTCACCGCTCAGGGAGACGCGGCTCCGCCAGGGGGGGGCCCATCGCCGATCTGTCGGCGACGTGCCGGCGCCTTCTGGCCGATGCCCCCCCCCCCCCCAGCCCCCGAGGCGGTCCCCCCCTAAACCCCTGTGGATGATGGGCGCACGATGTTTTTCAACAGGCGATGGTAAGTGTTAGCGCCGGCCCGTGGGCTCTTGAGAAGCCCAACTGGCGCTTAAGTTCTCTCGCGACTCGGGCCGAAAACTACGGAGGTAGAAAAAAACCCAACCCCTTGTTGATCAAGCGTCCCCGCCCCTTAGCCTCAGCACCTTTTGTCCACGGGATCGAATGGAGGGGAATGATACTCACCAGCATGGGGTTAGCGTTTCCTCTCAGGCCATGGCCGTGTGCGGCGTGTTCGCGCCCGTGCTCGCCCTGTCACTGGTGCCGCGCGTCGCGGACGAGCCAGGGTGCGCCTACGGCGCCCTGGACAGCCTGAAGAGCCTCACGCAGGCTCGAAGCAGAAAGCGCGGGCACAGGCGTGAGCTTCTGGAGGGCAGCCCCTCCGAGGGCGGTGGGAGGCTCGAGTTCCGAAGTGCTCGGGCTCTTTTTCCGCTTCGGCTCCTGGAGGCCTCCCAGCCTCGGGACGCCTTGCAGCGGCGGCGCTACACCGAGAGCGTCCCGTGGGGGCCCGGATCGTCCCGAGAGGCCGCTGGCGGCCCGGGCTGATGTCCGTGAGCCGCCAGGGGCAGCGCAGCGGCAGCGGCAGGGCGCAGGAGGAGGAGGGCAGGAGAAGGAGGAGGAGGAGGAGGAGGAGGAGGCTGCGGCGGCGGCGGCGGCAGCACTGCGTTCTCTCTTGGCTTCCCTGTGCTCTGCCGCTCGCGCGCCGCAAGGCGCCCCGGATCGTGGAAGCAACCCTTGCCATCAGGGCGGACGTTGTCGAGCTTGTGTGTTCGACATCCGCCGCCGTTTTTCTATGTTTTTATCTGCTCATCTTGTCCGTTTCGTCTTTTTTCCTGCCTGTGCAAGGGGTGTTCGCACGCACACAGAGCGCGCCGTGCACCACGAACACCAGTCTATCATCTGTATGGCTAACAGGCATGTTCGAGTGAGATAGATTGACCACTTAAGCTCAGCGCGGCATGCGCGGTGCCAGTCCGTGACCTCCAGAGGCCTCATGAGGTGAGCGTTGAAAAACGGGAGCCTCGAGCGTATGCGGGGCGATTCGACGGCGATCCTCACCCTCGACCTCGGCCCCCATTCATTATCCATGCGAACAGGAGCAGGAGCAGGAGCAGGAGCAGGAACAGGAGGTTCTCGAAGGTTCCAGCGAAGGAAGAACAAGACACATCGTCATACTTCATGCAAGCATAATCATCATCGTAGCAGTAAGGAAGAATGAGAACACTCAGCAATGAAAATAAGAAGTTAGATAATGCGAGTAGTACGAGTAATGGTAATAAGAAGATGAATGGTGATAGAAAGAAACGACCCGAACACCGACTTTCGGAGGCCCCCGCGGAGTTCCTGGATCGGTGCTTGGGCACTTCCCTGGCTGGCGCCCCCGGCGCGCCAGGGAGGGGGCCCCGAGATCCGTCGTTGGGGGCACATTGCAGCATCGCCGAAATTCACGACGGGAGCCCCAGACCCCAGCTTCCAGCGGCACTCCTGGAGCCGGGTCGATCTGTGCTGGCCCCTGGGCCTGGCGCTGGGCCAAGGTGCCAGGTGTGGCAAAAACGCAACGCCCGGATCTCGGGGGGGGAGGGCCCAGGGGCCGATCCAGGACACCCCACCGGACACGGCAGCTCTGTGCTGGTCCCTCCTGGCCTCGGGACCCCCAGCCCACAGCGGCTCTGTTCCTAGGACACCCCCCTCCACACGGCAGCTCTGGTCTTGGGACCCCCCACGCGACCTACCCACACCCTCACCACCCACCAAGCCACCCCAACCCAACCCGAAGGCTCAAATTTACATTCGATTTCCTGTGGGGTGGTGGTCGGGAAACATCGAAAAAACACATGTGGAACCCTTACCCCCCCAACCCGAAATTCGGGTCTTCGGGTTGGGTTTGGGTGGTCTGGTAGGTCGTCACACCCCCCACCGCGCCCCCCACCACGTCCCGGCACCCCCACCCCGAGAGAGCTCAGGACGTCCGCGCGGAGCTCCGAGAGGGGTCTGTGCATGTGCCGACGTGCCGCGCGGTCCCCCACGGGTGGATTTCGGTGGCAAGTCGTGGGAGCCTCGCAGACCCTCTCGATTTCCGTTTTTAGCGTCGATTAGCGTCAATTAGCGCTTGGGAGTCCTCCTCCTCCTCGTCCTCCTCCTCCTCGATGAGATAGCGCCGATTTAGCGTCGGCTAGCGCCGATTCGCGTCGAGTTAGCGTCGACTAGCGTCGACCAGCGTCGATCAGTGTCGATCCGCAGGAGCCGACAGGATGGTATGGGAGGCTCCCGTGAGTTGCCACCGAAGGTGGATCCAGCATACCCCTGCTGTCTCTGAGCTGGCCCGCGCCCGTGCCCGCTCCCCGGCGCTGGCCCGACCCCGCGGCTGCGCGCGCGGCTGCGACGCCAGAAGTTTGCCGATACGTTTTTCTTCTCAGGTCGGCGCCACCCCAACATACTTCTACGACATGTGCGTCGCCCCCCAGGGGCGACGTGCGCACCGAGAAATCTTATAGTATATGCGTCGTGGCGGGCGCTTTCTGGCCACAGCGCTCGGGAAGCGATGTGCTACAAGACGGGCATACTATATGTTCGGACCGGACGCGCGCCTCCAAGGAGGACATATAGTATTGGTACGTCTCTGTGCGTCCCATCATCACCACCCACCAAACCACCCCAATCCAACCCGAAGGCTCAGATTTACACTCGATTTCCAGTGGGGGGGGGTCGGGAAACATCGAAAAAAACATGTGGAACCCTTAACCCCCCCAACCCGAAGTTCGGGTCTTCGGGTTGGGTTGGGGTGGTCTGGTAGGTCGTCACATCAGGCGGCGGCCACGCTGGCGCTGGGCGAACTGCGGGAGGCGGGCGGCTACAGCCTCGCGCTCGCGTGCTGCTGCGGCGTGCTGGCGGCCGCCGCGGCGCTCGCAGTGGCGCTGGCGAGGGGCGCGGGCAGCCCGGCAGCGGCGCCGAAGGTGGCGCACGAGGTCGCGGGGGGGGGGGGCACGAGTCCGTGTCCTTAGATAGGTAGTCGCCCGGTGGCGCCGAATGGCGCCCAAAATGGCGCCCCAAATGGCGCCCAGTAGCGCTCAACGACGCCACGCGAGGGAGAGGCCTCACGTCCGCTGTGAGCGCGACATCGTGGGCGCCCACGAGCACAAGCTTGCATGAGTGGCTGTCTAGCCGTATCCGCGGCCTCACTGGCTGGGCCCTGGGCCGCGACCCCACGTGTGCAGGGCGTTTTTTCGCGGATGCCCCGCGCGGGACGTATCCGCGCGACCGCGTATCCATGGGGTCGCGCCCCGGAATGCCGACCGCGAGGGCGTAGATACGGATATGTTTGTCGCTCGTGGGAGAAATATAAAACAGCATGAACATAGCTTTTCTGAGTTCCGCGTGGATTTCTTGGATCGACGGTTGACCCCTTTCAGAGGCACGGGGAGTTCGCCAGGGGCGGCGCCGGAGGCGCCGCCAGGCACTGCCCAGCGCCGATCCAAGCAGTCCTCGCGGGGCTCCGAACGTTTATGTTAATGCCGTGATTTCCTATTCAGAAGGACTTGTGCTCGGCCAGGACCTGTGCCCAGAGCTGTGCCCAGAAGACCAGCGCCGCAGCGCTGGTGGCGGCGGGCGTCTGACAGGCCACGCGGGCGTTCAGAGGAGGAGTGAGGGTGTGGCGGTGCCGATGCCGAACCCTCTGCTTCGTTCTCGCCGTTGCTGGGGCTCCTGGGGGCCCTCGCCGCCATGGCTGGACTCGCCTCGGAAGCCTGGTCAGGACGCGCCCGCGGAGAGGTCCGGGGAGTAGCGGTATTGGCATCTCAGTGGTAGCGTACCAGAATGGGGCTCGCATTTCAGGGATCGAGGAGTTGGTTTCTCTTCCTCGGCGGACGCCGAAGAAAGGGCGATGGAAGCCGGCGGAGGTAAAACGAGGGCGGCTGTGCCGGCGGAGGGGCGGCGGAAATGCGGCGAATTGAACAATTATTGTAGTGGCCTTTGGCCAGTGCCGCCGATCCGGGGTGCTACCGATTCTGCTTGCAACGGATGACCTTTTATTTTTTAGAAGTAGAGCACTCGCTCGAAACATCCTCATGAGATAGAGATGTTGAACTCGCTTGGGCAACCTTCGGATATTCGAAAGTGACGATCTCGCGTGAACAGCCAAACTCATGGGATGTTAAGGTCGCTGATGTATGGTACCTTTTGGGCCTTTTGGGGGCGCTCCTGGACTTTTCGGGGGGCTGTTTGGAGGCATCCTTGAGGCCTCTTGGGGCACGCGCTGGATGAAGTTGTTGAATCTCTCGGGGCCTTTTGGGGGCCTCCTTGGGGCTTCTTGGGCCGTCTTGGGCCCTTCTCGGGCCGTCTTGGAGCCCTCTTCTAGCGTGAATGGCGTCAGCCATGGCGTCGGCCCTCCCCCTCTCCTCTCCCGAGCCTGAATGGCGTCAGCCCCCCCCCCCCCCCGAGGCGGGTGGATTGCTGTCTGAGCGGGCACGGCGCCCAAAACCCTCCAACGTGGCCACTACTTTTCCTTCATACGTATTGAGCGATTGTGGTCTGAGTGTCTGCGAGGCCGTGGGATGGCCATCGGGATTGCGCGGCCGCGAAGGCTCCTCGCATGTCGTCGTCAGTCGCCCGTCGTCGTCGACGTCGTCGCCGCCGCTGTCGTCGTCTTCGCCCCCAGACTCACACGAAGTTTCCGTGAACACTTTCTGGCGCTGCCCTGGCCAACAGAATAGCCAGAACATGTTAGCCAGCGTGGCCTCCCAACAGTGTGTTGTCGGTCGTCGTCGCCCCCAGACTCACACGGCTGCACTGCCATGACTGCCACCAGAACCAGAAAATACTCGCCTGCGTGGACTGCCAACAGTGCGTTGTCCGTCGTCGTCGTCGCTGCCACCGTCGTCGTCGTCATCTCCGTCGTCGCCGTCGTCCTCAGGCTCACGCCAAGTGTTTTTGAACATTTTCTGGCGCTGCCCGGATTGCCAGGAGAATCAGAAAATGTTAGCCAGCGCGGGCCCCAAACAGTGCTTGCCCACTCTGCGTGATGCAATCCACGCGGTGCGCTCTGTGGTCCTGTAGGTGTGGCGCAACCTATGTGGTGGAATCTGCGTGGCGCATGCCACTTGGTGCACTCTATCTGGTGCTACCTCTCTGGTGCAGTCTGGCGACGACAGTGATGACTGATGACGCGAACTGTTTCGGCTTGCGCTCTCCAGAGGAGGTGCGCACATCGATCTCTTATCCTGCTGCGCGGGCATCTGGCGCGCGCATCTCAGAAGACCGTCATCTTCAGGAGCGCCTCGAGGGGCGCCGAGACGCCCTGTGGGCCTCCCAGCGGCCCCTGCACCGTCATCTGGAAGAAGAATTGCCAGTGGCGGTCGACAGAACGCAACAGCATGTCCTTGAATGCCTTCCGAGTTGAGAAGGTGAAGTTCTTCATCGCCAAGTAGACAGAGACGGTCGCAAGCTCGTCGTCACAGAAGACTACAGCGCAACGGGGAACGTTTCCTTCGTCGTGCAGGTGCATGATCCAGGTACCCTCCCCCTCGTCGGGCAAGGCGGCTGTCGGGATCAGTTCCTTTATGGTGAGGATGGACTTCGCCTCGTGATACGTTACTCCGGAAAGATCGCGCTCGGCGTGTTCACGGACCAGTTGCATGAGCTGCCGCGTGAGAGCCGGTTTCGAGCCATAATCGCCCAGAGCCGTCGGCACCGTGATGAGCACGCTCGCAAGGTCCTGCGCGGGCACCAGGCTTGGGTCGATGGGGACGTCGCTGTACTCGCAGTTGCGAATCAAGCTGTAGAAGGGCAAGTGCTTTTTCTCCCGAAGACGCTCTACGAATGCCAGCGGCTGCTGCGCTACATAGTGGCTGGCCGCGAGGGCAAAGACTTCGGCGTCCGGCTGCGCTTCCGCGCCCTGCTCCTCCACAGCGAGCCTCGCTTTCTCGGCGGCGACCCTGCCTGTGTCTATGCGCACGCCGTCGTATGCCTTCGTGAGGTGCTTCACATGCCGCTGGCGCGCGAAGTCGCAGATGTGCATCGTCACGTAGGACTTGGCCATCTGCCAGAAGTGCGCGAAGCAACTGCCCTCAACCCACGTCACAGAGGAGTCGTCCTTCAGCGTGGCATACTGTTCAGGCATGGCCGACGCGGCAGCCCATCGCAGGAACCACGACAGCCGCTTCAGCTTCTTCAAGAATTCCTCGCAATCGGGGTCCAGGAGGGTCGCGTGTGGGAGCTCCTTCTTCCCGTGGACCGCCATGAGGATAACGTCCTTGCCAAGTGCCCCTGGGAGCCCAAGTTCTCTCATACACACCCAGTCGCGGTCCTCGCGGAGTTCCTTCAGCAGGATGAGCTCTGGGGCGAAGGCCGCCATCACATCCTCCGCGAGCCCCAAATGCTGGAGCAGCTGTTCGCTGAACGTCAGGCGCGCCGCGACCTGGTCCAGGTCGACGGTCTGGGGGAAGGCTATCATCTGCAAGTACTGCGGCATGTTCTGGGCGGCGGGGAAGTCACCCGCTGTCGCGTGCTCGTGGGGCACAAGCGGCCTGCCCATCGTGTACTGCACCCGCACTGCGTGGACATGAGAAGCGGCCTCCTTGCCCGCAAGCTGCCGCCGCACCTCAGCGCCTGGTTCAGCAGCGTCGCTCGACACGCGCCCGAGCCCCCTGCTGGGGAGGGACGCCACGGCGGCCGCGAAGTGCCGCGCCGCGTCCAACTTTTCGATGCGTTTCCTGATCGCCGACTCCTCTTCATTCTGGGCATTGGACCGGCGGCCCCTCCCCTCCGTGCCCCCGCCTTCGTCCTCCCGCGGCTCCTCCGCAGCGGCAGCGCGCTTCGCCCTCTTCATGGAGTGGGATGGCGCTGGGCCGGCCAGCAACCTTTGCAGGGCCTCGATCGCGCGCTCCGTGTTCTGCATGTAGGCCGCGTTGTCAACGCAGCATAGGGATAGGGATATGTTCCAGGCTGGTAATCAGTCTCCTGCGCACCGCGCCTGCGCACCAGGCTCGCTCCCCGACCTCCTCTCGGGGCATGCTTGTGCAACGCCTTCGTCGCGCTCGGGCCGCCCCCGCCTCCCTCCCACCCTCGCCCCCGCCCGACGGGACGTCGCCCGCCCCGGCGCTGCGCGGCCTCCCCGGCGCCGTGCGCGCCAGCGTAAGGCCCCCACCGCGGCCGCGGGCCCCGCTTCTTGCCCGCCCGATGGCCCGCGCGGCCGCGCGCCGTCGAGGCCTGGCTGCGGCGGCGTGGGGCGCCCCGTCGTTCGAAAGCCGTTCAGCGGTCGAGCCCTTGTCCCCCGGCCGCCCACCGGGGCTTCGCCGACCGGGGCCCTTTTTCCACGCGGGGCGCAGGAGAATTGGCGCATCGCCTGCTCAGCACCCCGTCTCTTGCTACAGTCGCTTAGCGCCGGGGGTGGTTGTTTCAACATCCCCCGCTCCCCAGGGTGCGCACCGCCGCCGAGAGTGCGATGCCGGCCTCGGCTACCGCAGTAGCCGGCTGTCGACGGGGCCCCCGTTCACTTGTCCGATATATTTATTTATCTCTCTGTCGCTCTCTCTCTCTCTCTCTATTTCTCTGTCTCTGTCTATATTTCGCTTTTTCCCGGAAAGGGCATAGGCCCAGGGTTCTCTTTTAGATGGTTTACCACCGGTTTTGACTTGAGGTGGGCCGGCGAATTTCTTTTTGCGATGAATATCGAGGTCGAGGTAGGGCGGCGAATTAAGATTTGAGGGTGTCTCGAGCGAGACGCTTGTTTGTCAGAATATGTTGAGGATGTCTCGAGCGAAACGCTTGTTTTGTGTCATAGATTGTCCCCTCCTGGGGACGTGAGTTCAGAGGATCTCTCAAGTGAAATGCTTGTTTTCACGCGCCCTGGTCTCGAGGATTTCTCGAGTGAGGCGCTTGGTTTCACGCCTCCAGGTTGCCCAGACAGATGTCTAGCATGAGGATTTGTTGAGGATGTCTCGAACCAGAGGCGTGTTTTCACGTGTCCAGGTCGCCCAGGCGGATGTTTAGCATGAGGATGTGTCGAGGAAGTCTCGATTGAGACACTTGTTTGCACGAGTCCAGGTTGCCCAGGCGGATGTCTAGCATGAGGATGTGCTGAGAACTTCTTGAGCGAAACGCGTGTTTTCACGTGTCCAGGTCGCCCAGGCACAGCACAGCCCTCGGCACGGTACATCAATATCGATACCCTTAGCATGCAGCCTGGCATGTTGCCTGGCACGTTCCGCGGAGCGTCCTGTGGCGAGTCCCCCTGGCACGTCGCGCGGTGCACGTTCATAGGCACGTTCCGTAGCGCGTCTCCTTGGCACGTCCCGCGGTGCGTGCCCATGGCACGTCCCCTGGCACGTCGCCTGGCGCGTCCCTTGGGGCGTTCTGCGGCGCGTCCTCCTGGCATGTCCCCCATGACGATTAGTTCTGGGGCAGCTACCATTTGATGAGGCATCTCGAGCTTAAGATCCAGATAAGTTCGGTCAGAACTCGGATGCAAAGAGGGCTCGATCCACAACGCTATATAGAGCACAGTCGCGGCATGGCACATCGCAGTTCAGCACGGCCCAGCACAGCACAGCGGTCGGCACGGTACACCAAGATCGACACACTCAACATTGCATCTTGGCACGTTCCTTGGCGCGTTCCGTGGCGAATCCACCTGGCACGTCGCACGGCGCGTCCCCTGGCACGTCCCGCGGTGCGTGCCCATGGCACGTCCCCTGGCACGTCGCATGGCGCGTCCCTTGGGACGGCGGCGCGTCCTCCTGGCATGTCCCCTCAGTCGATTAGTTTTGGGGCAGCTACCATCTGCTCAGGCAGCTCGAGCTTAAGATCCGGATCATTTCGGTCAGGACTTGGATGCCAGGGAAATCTCGATCCACAGCGCTATATAGAGCACAATCGCGGAATGGCACATCGCAGTTCAGCACGGCGTAGCACAGCACAACCCTCGGAACAGTACATCAATATCGATACATTCAGCATTGCATTTGCCCGTCGCCCAATCAGGTGTCTTTGACACGTTGCCATGCCTTACAGTTATGTTCCTTTCCGGGTTCGTGGGTCGATCATGTTTTGTTGTTTTCTCCCTCTCTCTCTTGTGTTCTCTCTCGCTGTCTCTCTCTCTCTCTCTCTCTGTCAATATGTGTGTATTTATGCAGGTTTCTTAGTTTTGCGCTTCTGTTTACTGTATCTACCCTGTCAGACCCTTTTGTTTTCTATTATCTGAGATCTACTCTCTCTTCGCTCTGCTCAATGGGGCTGTCCCCTTTCTGATATGTATTCTCTGCAGTCGATTATGGTTTCTATGGCCGGGAACATGAAATTGGGAATCGGCAGCCCAGCCGTTCGTCGAAATCGGCCCGGAACCCCCACTTGCTTCGGAACCCGAGAAACCGGCCGCCCACCGACATCGGCCCAGCCACTTCGCTGGAACCAAGAAACGGGATCCCCGGGAATCGGCCGCCCACCGACATCGGCACGGTACGTTCGCCACGTTTCTTTTTGCCGTTAGGACCCTTGCAGAGCAAGCGCAGGTTGGGGAACACATATAACCTTCGCTCGAGTGCCCTTTAGTGCGGGGCCATCGGGGTCCCCCGATCGCTGATGTCCGCATGTTTGTGCGCAGGGTTTCCCGAAGCGGGCCTCTTGTTTCCCAGAGGCGATCAGCCTGTGCGCTGCCGAAAGTGCCCATGGTCCAAGGCGATCCCAGGACTCTGGCCCCCAGGGAACCCCCCCTGTGGTCTCCACTGCACGCTCCCGAGGCCGGGGCCCCAGAATTGTGCGGAATCCTGGGGGGCCAGGGCCGCGCCTGGCAACCTCGGATCCCAAACATCCGACGATTTGACTTTTACCACTGCGCAGCCCCAAAGGTCTCGACCCCTTGCCCGAGGCCAGAGTTCCGCACAGAATATATGGTTTTTGTGGTCCTGGGGCCCGACAGCGGGCCATTCGTACTGCCAGCGCCGACGCCGCGCCCCGCCTGCGTAGACTGCCTCGGCAGGCACCCCGTCGCAGGCCGCCGGTGCCCCGCCGCGCGCCGGCGACGTGCGGTGCTCGCGCTGAGGGCGCACGGCGCGGCAGTGGAGGCTGGGCCCAAACATCCGACGGTGCGTTTTTGGGGGTTTCCCTCACTCGACAGGCTCGGCTTGTAGACTCAAGCGACAGGGCGTCCGACCTTGCATGCTGCGGCCGCCAAGCCCAAAGTGTGCCGGTGTTCCTTTGGGATCCCTCCTCGGGTCTTCGGTGTATGACGACTGCATACCGCGGCCGCCAGGCCCAAAGTGTGCCGGTTGTTCCCTGGGGATGCCGCATCGCGTTCTCGGGTGGGGATCGTTCGAAGCAGCATTGTTTTTTGCTTGTTGTACAGTCCCCGGCCCCAGAGGCCCGACCTCTTCCCCCAGTTTTTCGCTTCGGGTGCAGTTTTTCATGGCCGTGGGGTCCCCGAAACGGCCACGCGGAGGCCAAGACGGGGGACGAGCGTCGGCATCAAAAGGGTCCGTCCCTCGAGTGTCTGGGGGGGGGGCGGCGGTCGGCGGCGACAACTCGTTGGTGAACAGTTTGTGTTTTCGCGCGGCGCAGGTTTGCCGACTTCTTCCGCGTCTCGCGCTATTGTTGGGTGGGATGCCTGCACGGAGCGAGGCCGACGGCCTGAGGCTGGCGTCCTGAGTCCTCCCGCAGCCTTCCTCCTCCTCCTCCTCCTCCTCTTCCTCCTCCTCTTCCTCCTCCTCTTCCTCCTCCTCCTCTTCCTCCTCTTCCTTCCTCGTCTCCCGATTCCGCCTCCATCTTTTCTGCTCCCTGTTCCCTGCTTTTTCTTCCACCTCCTCCTCCTCTTTCTCCTCTTGTTTTTCCTGGAAAAGGCATAGGCCCAGGGTTCTCTTTTAGTTTGTTTACCCCCGGTTTTGATTTGAGGTGGGCCAGCGAATTTCTTTTGCGATAAATATCGAGGTCGAGGTGGGCCAGCGAACTAAAATTTGAGGATGTCTCGAGCGAAACGCTTGATTATCAGAACTTGTTGAGGATGTCTCGAGCGAAACGCTTGTTTTGTCTTATAGATTGTCCTCTCCTGGGGGCCTCAATTCAGAGGATCTCTCAAGTGAAATGCTTGTTTTCACGTGCCCAGGTCTTGAGAATGTCTCGAGCGAGACGCTTGGTTTCACGCCTCCAGGTTGCCCAGACAGATGTCTAACATGAGGATTTGTTGAGTGTTTTCACGTGTCCAGGTCGGCCAGGTTGATGCCTAACTAGCATGAGGATGTGTCGAGGAAGTCTCGATCGAGACGCTTGTTTGCACGTGTCCAGGTGGTCCAGGCGGATGTCTAGCATCAGGATGTGCTGAGAACGTCTTGAGCGAAACGCGTGTTTTCACGTGTCCAGTTCGTGCAGGGACAGCACAGCCCTCGGCACGGTACATCAGTATCGATACCCTTAGCATTGCAGCCTGGCATGTTGCTTGGCACGTTCCGCGGAGCGTCCCGTGGCGAGTCCCCCTGCACGTCGCGCGGTGCACGTTCATTGGCACGTTCCGTAGCGCGTCCCCTTGGCACGTCCCGCGGTGCGTGCCCATGGCACGTCCCCTGGCACGTCGCCTGGCGCGTCCCTTGGGGCGTTCTGCGGCGCGTCCTACTGGCATGTCCCCCTGTCGATTAGTTCTCGGGCAGCTACCATCTGCTCAGGCAGCTCGAGCTTAAGATCCAGATCAGTTCGGTCAGGACTCGGATGCAAAGAGGACTCGATCCACAACGCTGTAAAGAGCACAATTGCGGCATGGCACATCGCAGTTCAGCACGGCCCAGCACAACACAGCCGTCGGTACGGTACATCAAGATCGGTGCACTCAACATTGCCCCTTGGCACGTTCTTTGGCGCGTTCCGTGGCGAATCCCCCTGGCACGTCGCGCGGCGCGTCCCCTGGCACGTTCCGCGGCACGTCCATTGGTACGTTCCGTAGCGCGTCCCCTTGGCTCGTCCCGCGGTGCGTGCCCATGGCACGCCCCCTGGCACGTCGCCTGGCGCGTCCCTTGGGACGTTCCGCGGAGCGTTCTCCTGGCATGTCCCTTCTGTCGATTAGTTCTGGGGCAGCTACCATCTGCTCAGGCAGATCGAGCTTAAGATCCGGATCATTTCGGTCAGGACTCGGATGCCAGGGAGGACTCGATCCACAACGCTATATAGAGCACAATCGCGGCATGGCACATCGCAGTTCAGCACGGCGTAGCACAGCACAACCCTCGGCACAATACATCAAGATCGATACATTCAGCATTGCATGTGTCCGCCGCCCAATCAGGTGTCGTCGAAACGTTGCCATGCCTTACATGTCCTATATTCCTTTCCAGGTTCGTGGGTCGATCATGTTTTGCCTGGTCGAACGGTAGCTTACTTGTCCAGTGCCTTGTTGCATACCTTTCTCACCCCGTCTTTGCCTGTGCCTTTGGGGGGAGCTTTCGCTGCCATTTGCAGGTTGCAACCTCCGCGCCCGCTTTACACTTTACATCGCTATACTTACCTAATCCCTACCATTCCGCTTTGCAAAACACGCAGCAGCTTTACATTCTTAGTTGATAGCGGAACATATTGCTCCACCGCCGCAGCCGCCATGGCCCGCGCGCCGATGCCTCGCGCCCCTGGCGGCCGCTCTACCCGCTCTACAACGCGGACCACGCGCACTTGCCCCGCACTCGTGCTGATCATCTACTTCGCCCCGACAGGCGACGTGCCTCAAAGGGCCGGCAGGGCCAGTCAGGCCCCGCCGCCATCGTCGGCGCAGGAGACCCAGCACAATTACGAGTCCAAGGACACGTGCTAGAAGGACACCGCCCCCCGCGCCCCCCCCCTGGGCTGGTTCGAACTGTGTTCGGTAGGCTCGGGGGCCCTTCGTCGTCACGGCAATCGCTTGTGAGCGCCACCGGCCACGTCAGACCGTCGAACGATCCGATGTTCACTTCCACGATATCGGCACAGGGCCCCGAGCCACGCGCAATTGTGTTGCGAGAGCCCGAAGGGGAAGAGGACGAGGGCGCATCGTCCGTAACCATTTTGGCTCAAGCTATTTTGGCTCAAGCCATGATGGCTCCAGTGAACCATGTCCCGAGGTGGCGCCAGGGCCTTTCCCGCCTCGCGGGTCACAGACGGCTTCCCAGCCAGACCCCGAGCTTTCTTTCTTGCTTCGCATCCTTCTCTTGCACCGCCCTACCCTCAATCTTGTTCCTGCCACATCGTTTGCTCAGACTTTTTCATCCTGGCTGCCGCGCTCTCGCAGCCGCGGCGCTGGTCTTTGGGGGCGGGCCGCGACAGCCACGCTCGCCGCGATGGGGGCCAGCGAACGGCGCGTCTTTCTGGAAGCATGGGAGCTGGCGCCCGCATTTCCGTCCTTGCCGCGCAGGGGCGCTGCCTGTGCGAGTGGCGTTGACTCTCCTGCTCCCGCTCTCGCTGATGGCGCGCGCGAGCCACGGGGTCAGGCCGAACGTGTCGTGGACGCGCAGGAGGACGATGTCGCTGCCGTTAGAGACTACGTCGACCAGACGAAGAGCGAGTTGCTCGCCGCCGTCAACTCCCTCCAAGGAGGGGTCGCCAAGCGGGCTTCATCCGTCTCCACCAGCTGCGACCAGCAGGGCAGGAACATGGAGCGCCGCATGGCCGCAGCGGAGAGAAGGCAGAACTAGCGCGAGTCGTGCATCGCGCAACTGGGACGTCACATCCAAGATCGTCGCCAGCATCTCGGAGTTCACCAGCAAGAGCAGCCCGGGATCACAGCGAATGTCGACGCGCCATTCAACTGCCGGCCGAGCACGCCCGCCATTATTGCTCGCGCGCGCGAGCCCGCGGCTCAGGAAGCACGTCTGGCATCAGTTCCGCCTCGGCTGGAGCGAGCGCAGCTTGACCCGAGCTTGTGCTCGGCGGGGTCGGGGCCCATCGACAAGCGCTTCAAGTTCCGCGTTCGCGGGCAGGGGGCGCTGGCAGCCCGGCGCGCCAGCCAAGCCATGGGGGCCCTTCGACAGCGCGATGGAAGTTGAGCGCGATTCGCCGCCAAGACTGCGGCCGACGTGGACACCCTGGTGTTCGTCGCGCTCCGACGAGAGCCCCGCGATGGTCAAGGCCGAGATTGCCCTCGAGCAGATCCGCGCCAGGTTCGCGGATCTGCCCCCCCCGAGAGGAAGTCCTACGCGGAGCGAGCCCCGGGTCCCATATCCATCCAGTGGAAGCGCGCGGCGCGCGTCGCAGCCGTCTCACCGCCCGCGGCCCCGCCTCTCGGAGGCCTTTTGGGGCTTCTTGGGGGCCTCTTGGCGGCCCCGGGGCCTTCTAGGAGCGTCTTGGGTGCCTTGGGGGGGCCTCTTCGGGCCTCTTGGGAGTCTCTTGGAGGCCGTTTGGGGCGTCTTGGGCATGCAGGAGGTGCCTGGTTCGCATCTGGAACATTGCCCCAAGCGCCCTCGATCGAATACTTGACCAGTGCTCCAGCGAGATATACCCAGCCTCCCCGACCAGGAGGCCGGCCATAAACAACATCACAGAGGACTGGTGCAACTACGACATGTCTGCGCACCTTTCCACAGCCAGCCGCGCGCCAGTCGCAGACTCTGACACGCCAGTTCCACCAAGCGACGGCCGGTCAACGCAGCCCCCCGCCAGGCAGCCGCAAGGGGCCCCAGCCGGAGAGGTCACCTTCCGCTACTCGCCCCCCGACCTACCACCGCCCGCTGCGCCGCCGACCCCCGCGCACTCCACCCGCCGTCTGGCAGGGGAGGAGTCGAGGGGCCCTGTCCGCGCGCTGGTAAAATACTTGATTGACTGGAGCCACGCTGTCTACTCCATCTGGGCAGCCCACGCGCAGCGTTCGGGAAGAGACATTGTGGGCGAGGTAACCGACGAATCGGGATGGCCCCTCGAACAACTGGTGCCCTTCCTGGCAACTATCTACGGGGATGAGATACCCAGCAACGGCCATCCCCCGCGCATCCCCTGGGACGGACAGAGGGCCGCGGCTGCCAGGCTTGTCACACACCTAGTGGAGAGCACCCCGAAGTACCAGGAGGAATGGGAGTGCTTCTCAAACACACTCGACAATAAGATAGGACAGTGCCCCCACCGACAACCATTGCATACACTCACCCTCTTTCTCTCAGGGATTGAGAATTACCTATCAGGAGGAACGATAGAGCTCCTCGCCGGCCAGCCCAAGGTGGCGAAGACCAGCGACGCTGTTAAAGGAGGTCCCTCCACAGCCATCTGGCCCAACAGGCCCCAGGAGGACCTGTCTGGCCCCACCTCTCAACGCGCAAGTGGACATGCCCCCCCTCCCCCCCATCAGATCGAACGCGCCCCCCCAGCAGCCCGACGCGCCAGGTCAGTCTGACGGGTGCGCAGGAGACGCGCCGTCCCCATACATGCACGGGAGCGGCGGCGGCGAGTATGAAGGGATCAACTGGGATGAGTCCAACAAGGGATCCGAACCGGACGTCCAGGCGCACGGCAGCCCACCAGACATTTCCGACTCCGAGGTGCAGGCCAGCCCCGCACACCAGGTAGACGATGCAGATATTCCAGGGCCGAACAATCGTGAGTCCGCCCAATGTACTCCACCCCTGTGATCCCAACCCCCCCTGAGGGTCGTCTCGCAAGCCTGGCCCCCATATGCACGGGCCTTCGCACGCGCGGTCAGTGATGGCAGGGGGCTCAGGCAGCCGGAGAACAGAACAGA